AAAAAAAGATACTTCATGCGGAGTTTTTTCTTCCTATTTTTTCAGGGCTCAAATACAAGATCTTTGATTAAGAATGAAATAATCTTATCCATTTTTCAACTTTCTTCTTCATTAAGAAAGAAACTTATATCAAGATATGTTTTTTTTCACGCGATGCTAGGGTTAATTTGAGCGCATATCAATTAATTTCATGATATACCTATTATTTCCCACTAGTACGAGTATCAAGTAGTTTTATCCATCAAGATTTGGACAAATGAAAAAAATTGCCTAATATTATTGTTTCAGTTGAGATTTAAACCTGAAATATCATAATTTTTCAACCTATTTCACTGACCATTGGGCCGCGCTTTACTTGACATAAAGTATCTTTACTTTAATTTCTTCCCAAATAAGTTGTTCTCAATGGCCATCAAATTGGTCCATCAATAATTAAAGGGACTACATACTCAATTTTGTTGATTTTACCCAACTCTATATCACAATCCCATTGACATATATATAATTAATAAGATGGATATATATTCCTACAAAAATTTCAATGAATAACCGATCAAAGCATTATTCTCTTTTGGAGTCAAAGGACAATCCAATTATGTGAAATTTATATATACTTGATGTGTGTGTAAGACCAATATGTCTATCACATCAATGGAATTTGAGAAGGATATGATGAGGACAAACACTTGCATCTAAAAGTCATATTAATGCTTTTTACTAGATCAACATGGTTATGGTGTAGCGGTGGAACTGTTTCACCCTTAATCAGAAGTCTGTGGTTCAAACCCTAGGTATGCAGAAAATTTTGTTGGGAGCGCCACCCCACATGGACCCTACAATATGCGATCTGAATTTAATCTGCAGACTCCGAACACCGAGTGAGAAATAAAAAATAAATATTTACTAGAAAGAAAGATTGATAGATAGATAGATATGTATGGGGTTGGCTAATGGAGACCAAAAACTAAGAGTTAGGTGGTGAAGTATTTTGATTATGACTCATGATTATTGCCATACCTATATTGCATTATTAACTTTGAACAAGAACTCTCAAGTGTTGTCCACATCTTCCTACTCCCTTACTACTTTTTCTTTTTAAGATTGTCGTATTCTATTAAAATACTTACTATGTTACAAATCTAACTAAAGTTGAATAGCATATAGGACAAAGGTACACCATATTTGAGAGCGGATATGGAATTTTCATTAAGGGATCCATCACCAATATATATATACATAATAATTAACCTTATATATATAGTGTGATTTTTCGATGAAAAAAATTGACTGAACCCCTTCCCGATTCATGCTCAATTTCGCTAAAGATAGTCCATCTATGTGCAAAGAAAGTCTCTTTTTTTTCTGCTTCTATTGCTTGACTAGGTTCAGTTTACAACGAAGTGAGATATCTATTTATCAATTTTCTATGGATACAAAGTCATTCGATAACTTCATTTATGGAAAGTATATCTGGTGAAATAATTGAGATGCATGTAAGCTATATACTGATACCATTTTTGTTAAAAGAAAAAGGAGTACCAAAGCCTATAAAGCGTAATTTGCTAAATGTATTTAATATGAAGAGACATATCTTAACTAATCCAGTATTATATTGCCAAATATAATCATCAGTCAATTAAGTAGTACTACTGATAAAACTGGTGGATCCCAGTGTGGAATTGCTAATAATTGAGTACATACTTTTAAAATGATGCTTTAATGACTAATAATACTCAACTTGTTGGTAATCCCTTACCTAACTCACTTTCCAAATTTTACTGTTCTATCCATAATCTATTCATAAAAAAAATGTTACTTTATTGGTTCATATATATCCATTCTTTATCTACTAATTATGAGAAGATTAGTTGAACTAATAATATAAGCTAGGAAGGCCTAAGAATTCATCAGTATAATTAATATGATTATCCTTGTTAATTATTATTTAACTACACAATAATTGGAAGCTTCAACTACCAAGAATTTTGCCGTCAACGTGTGGACCTGTATGGGTTCATTAATTTGGATTACAACAAAAAGGACAATTATGAGCTTGGTTCAAAAACTTTTGGTTGTCGATGTTCCTAAATAGATTCAGAATTTAAAATTAATGAATGTGAATAATAACAGGTGATTTATAAGAATGACTCTTGAGTTTTTTTTTTTTAACCGTGGTTTCCGGGCGTCGCTTTGCGAACCCGACTAGCTGTACCCACCGGGTCCCGCTGTTTCAAGGCGGGTCCACCACGGTTAGTTCCACGGGGCCCTGGAGACGCGGCCGGTTTGTAATGCCTCCAGTGGCCCTGCTGGGGCTTGAACCGACTCTTGAGTTGAATCAGTAAAATTGATGAAGTATTTATTATTCTTTTTTAAAGGGTAAATTGAACAAATAGCCATTTTAAAAATCCATATTTAATGAATAACCAAAAATTTATCCATGTGAAAATCACCTTTAGACTTGCGGGCTTGAAGTATCGTTATATCTAAAGTTAGATTCTACCAAAACCTAACTTCAGACCTCATGTGTATATGAAGTTGTTTTTGAAGCGGCTAAACTTTATATTCTTATGAAGTTCCATTTTCTTATCTCCTTATTAGAATTCCAATTTCTGCCAATCCACCCCTACCCCACCCCCACCTCCAAAAAGAGATACTCACTCTGTCCACTTTTATTTGTCAGATTGCGCTTTTTAAATGTCAATTTGACTAATTTTTAAAGTTAAATTAGATTACACCAATTCGATATTTTAAACAATAAAACTAGATATTCAAAAACTATACGAAAAGTACTATAAATTGTAATTTTTCACATATCAATATGGTGAAAAAATATATCGTAAAATGTTAATCAAAGTTCTTATAGTTTGACTATAAAAAGGGAAAAAAAGGAAACCATGACAATTAAAAGTGAACGGAGGTATTATATGACACGCTATCTCCATGCAAATGATCAATTTTCTCCAATATAGTAATCCAGCTAATTGTTTCATAGAAGTGGCCATAACTATTCAGCCCAACTCTACTAGCAATAGAAACCATTCATGTGGCTATTTTAAGAGAAACAAATCCATAGGGGGCTTCTTAATTACGTTTCTTTTAGTGTGCAATTATTGTTGTTGAAGTTTTACTATATTAGTATCCATGATTGGGGATATAGTACAGACTATGCATAGGACTACTAAGGTGAAAAGACAGAATGTATTTCGACGAAATGCTCTGGAGATTTTAGGAGGACGACAGACCCGCTCACGACAATAAGGAGAAGCAAATCCAAATAGTCCAATGCCTAGCAGATAAATGATGTAACAAAAAATAGACATGATCTTTTTTCTGTTTGTGATTTCCACCCAATGTTCGGTATCCATTTTGAAACTGGATCTTACTTTGAGAATAAAGCGCTTCCCACCAAAGATGACTCCAAAAATAAAGATGATGATAATGAAGTAGTACTTAACTTTAAAGAGCTGTATCCAGGCTATCTTCATGCCATGCTTGTGAGCTAATAGGTTAGGGTGCTACTGGAGAATACTGTCACGTAATGGCAACATCAACCAGCTAATACACTACCAACAAAAGAGGAAAAAGAGAGTGCAACAATTGTCCCTCTTTGATATCTTCTACTCTATTCTTAAATGTGACAGCTTTCCTCTGTTCTGGTTTCGCCAAGTTTCACCGTGTACATTATTAAGAGGTGAATCCAAAATTCAAAATTTTCATTTTTCAAAATGAGTGGATCTTATTTTTTTCGTTACATACACACATAGTTCGAGCCAAAAATAGTGAGTTTCGAACCACCTTTTGTGTGGATAAGTGTCGATTAGAACCTACGTTAGAGAAAAAAGTGCGATCTTAAAATTTAAATTATAGTAAAGATAGAAAATTGAGTCACTTCAATCTTTAGCTGTCATGTTAGATTAGTCACAAATCATATTGGATCGTCATATCATAACTCAAAATTTCTCCGTAACTTGGATCATATAGCTTGTTACGGAAACTTGCAATATTCGAGTGTCTAAACTTTGTTATTTTTCTCCCAGCAAGCAGCAGTTTATAATGAGAAAACTTGTCACTCCGAAACTATATTCTATAATCTTAAGGCATTTAGGATACTAGCAAATTAAACTATCAGCAAGTGTTTCTTTTGCAATAACGCCTCCTAAAATATAAAGGACAACGGGTCAAAACCGGGATGTATGTATATCTATTGCACAAAGATTTTACTGAATGTTATGATTGATATATACTTTTACCTGACCAGAAGATGAAAAAGAAGCCATGGTTGATATAATGCACCTTGAATGGAACAAATCTCACATTATTTTGCCAGTTGAATCTCAATCTGCTGCTCCTGTCAGGGTTTAAAGCTGGATATTGCTAACCTTCTATGATTATTTTTTTAGAATACATGCAGAGTGGTATAACTTTGTAAATGAAGAATCTTGTAATAGAACAGTTGCACAAGTGTGAAAACAACTAGTGAGGGCAGATGAGAAAGCAAAAGTTTGTTAAAACTCTTCTGTTTCTGAGGCATCAACTCTTTTGATGCACCAGTTTTGCTCTCTGTTGTGGTACAGAATATAAGGAGTTCACCAAATAGTCTAATGGTGAAAGAATAAGATATCGCTAGACTGCCTTTATTTTGTCAAAATAGAATACACTCTGTAGTAATCTTTAACCAAAACCCTAAGGAACTGCATCCCATTTTAACATTTCTAAGGCTAGGGTTGGTGCGAAAACTCTATTCCTTTCTGCTAGTTTCCCACACTCTTATTCCTGTTGGTTTAGAGGGTAAGGAGGACAAGAAGGGAAGCGACGGGGAGTAACATTGAACAAAGAGTACTTCAGAGGCATAGCAAATGATGCAAAATTTGAAGAGGTAACCAAGTCTTCTCAATTGGTTGCCTTTAATTTCTCCAATTGACTATCATACTCATCTGGAGGAATCAACAGCCTTAAATCTATATTCAGTGAAGTGAAAAAACAGAGACTCAGCAGCTCACTTGTCATCAAATTCTGTGAGATTCTTGGGGTATAAGCAACTCATCCAAATCGTCAACAATGACCTGTTGATATTTTGAGAGTAATTTTAGTTAACAGGGGATGTTTTCTAACGTCAGAAAAAGATAGAAAGAAGAAGACTTACCTCAAAGTTGTTACCATCAAAGGTGTACTCCACATACAATTGCTTAGATTCTCCTGGACAAGGATCACAAAATCCCATAATTCCTGATTTCTTTACACCCTCGTGCAGCTGCATATAAATAATGAGACATGAAATATCCAATAGTAAAAAGTAAAACCATCTTGAACAGACAAGATATTGGCTCGTTGTTTCATGAACTAGTGAAATGTAAGCAAAAATATGTCCATATGTAATTATTTTCATCTCAACAGTTATTCCAAAGAAAGCGTCCAAACACTAAAAGTACATAGGCTAATATTGATTAAACAACAGATGTGTAGCTTTTACAGAGGAGATAGTCAATTGTGTTCATTTTTTTCTATGTAGTACGAATATATCATTAATTGGCATCAAGGAGATGCAAAAGAAGTAGAAAATTAAGTACTGTTAGCTCCATAACAGTTGATCAGTCAATTAGATCAAGGAGCCAACAAAATCGAAAAAATCAACTGGGACAGATACAGGCTTAAGGAAATTCCAACTGTAGAGATTAACTAAACATCTAGCTTTCAAAATATGCGTTGGAGTTGAGGTTTCATCAATATATCTGTGATTCCTTTCATTCCAAATACACAAAACGATTGTGTTCCTTGCTACTAAAGGAAAATTTTATCTATGTGAATTCAACCTAGGGAAAATCTCGGAAACCTAATTTGTTAACCACATGGAGCCTAAAACATGGGCTAATCCTCATGATATACAATGGCTATGTTAATCTACCAGAGAAACACAAAATCTTGCAAGTCCCAGTACTCCTTCAAGCCAAACAGACAAAATGACAGGAGCACCAAGAAGATATCTTGACATATCATGATTGTGTTCCATATAGCCCATCTTTTTTCCTTCTCCTCCTTTTGATGCCATCTAAGCCAAACACGTCCCTAACCTTCTCTTAGCTACTGCAGCTGTTATAATTCTCTTTCCTTTATGACCTCTAATAGCTTACGATGTTCATAGAGAAGATCAATTAAAGCAAGTAATATAACTAAAAAGAAGAGTAACAAGGCATCAAATGTGAAACAAGGAATCCTTAAGACTGATAACAAAAAGAAATCTATTAAGAACAGACTATGTAAAAACGGACCTTTAGTTTCCCCGAGTCGCTCACAAGAAAATTTAAAGGTAGAGTGACATCAATGATTTGAGAAGCCACTTCATCTTTCACTTCCTCTATTTGATTTCTGTTCTTCAGAGCTTTACGACTGCCATACAGTGCTTTTGTAACAACCAGTCCACCTGTTTCAAGCTGTCTACTTCTTTTCCTATTGGCCACATTTTGCAATAGTTGTTGAGCTTTCTTAGCAGCCGTCCTAGCCTCCTGAACCTACAACAATGTAGTGTGTTAGGAGCAAAGCTGCAGTAGAGGTTGGCTTCACATTGGACCATCCACTTATAAGCTCAAGGAAAGAACCATGAGAATGCTTCATAGACAAAACAATATACATTCTCTATCATATCAGAAGAGGCAGTGCACAACGAACTGCATCAACACTTAGAAACTACTGAAGTGGACAACAAAATATTGGCTCACAGAATGTCCCAAGGTACAAGCGGGGGATTGAGAGGATTTATGTTCCAACCCCAACTAGCTTGCGATTGAAGCCTAGTTATTTATCAAACATCCTAATGTCTGGCTGCCAAGAACAGGGGAAGCTATTTATAGAATTCAGGCAGTAGCAATGCCAGTCACCCGAAATATGTATAATTTATAATTACCTGGACAAGGGTTTTATCCATATTTTCTGATGCCTTCTGCTTTTCGCGCTTAAGATAAAAAGGTTTCACAACAAATCTCTGCAAATATAGAAGAGAAAAACAGTCAAAAAGAGACTGGAAAATGAGCTATTAAGAAAGTAAGAAAATTATAAAGTATAATCAATGAGATACATTTTGCTAACACAAGGCCCCACAACAATTCAGAATAAATAATACTTCCTCAATTCCAATTCGTTTGTCTTACATTCCTTTTTAGTCCGTTCAAAAAAGAATTGTCTCTTAAATTTTTTGACAACTCTTTCATTCAAACTTTCCACATGACATGTTTACGACCACAAAATTAAAGGGCATTTTCGTACATTCTACATATCTTTAGTTTAAGACCACAAGAATGATTCAAAAGTCTAATTTACTTTCTCAAACTTCGTGCAAGTCAAAACCAGACAAACAAATTGAAACGAAAGGAGTAAAGGAAAAGATATCTCAACAAGAGAGAAATCGGCAGTCATGGAAACTGAGCAGTTACGAAACTAGCAAGCCATCATTTCAAGGAGACATTTCCTCATATTGCCACCACGAGGAACCCCCCCCCCCCCCCCCCCAACCCCCCTCCAACAACTCAGAATCAAAACCAGTGGCTACAGTAAAACATATTTGAAACATCCAGGGAAGGAAATAAGTAGAAGCAATATGGGCAATCAATTGTAAAATCTTTAAAATGGGTAACTACCAAGGTAAACCTACTCATAGGTCACCAAATAAAAAAGAAGTTAAATGTTTTGGCATAACTCGCTATGGATATTGATATGTTTATCAGAAGAACTAGGATATCTGTCTTGACCGAATTAAGTATTCTATAACAGAAATACAAGGAAAGCAGTAATATAGCAAATTCCCCCAGAGAATAATTGAGAACCACCATGTAGTTAGCTATTGACCGAAAAGAAATTTTCAAATGTCAGTTTGAAGACAGAACACAAACCTTCAGTACAAAATACAGTGAGGTCGGTACCACAAATGCTCCGGTGGCAAAAATAGGGTTCAAATGCCTAGAAAGCAATACCTGCATCCATAAATATTTAGCAAAAATGAGAACACTTGCAGTATGAACAACGAAGATCTTGATTGAGACAGATAATGTTTAGATAATGGTAAGTTCTTTGAGCTAACTTATTTAGATGAACTTTTTTTTTTTTGAAATTGGTAACATAACTTATTTATAGGAACTTAGATTATCCACTATCCATAGAAAAGTCAATTTTTTGGGGGGACATCACCGGAAAAAAGTAGATTAAAAAGAGTGAATCAGATGGCTGAATACAGATCATAGAGATTATAGCCGCTCAAACATGCCATTCCATAAGCTTCTTAATGCAAGACAGCAAAGAAAAGCAAAAGAAATTTTGTTATTTTTCTTTAGGATTCACTTTCTTGGTTATTAAACTAGGCAGAACTAAAGACCCTCTGAATTATTTCAAAGCGACTCCAGGCAGACCAGTTTGAGCAAATGCCCCGCGATACTTGCGATTGCCACTGCCACCCCAAGGCATTTCAAGGATGCCTCGCTCAGAAGTAAACCGTAGAATCTGCCCAGAAAACGTCTTTTAACCCTAGATAGATTAATGCTCTATTATTTTCGCTATGGTTTATGGCATTGAATGCAAAAATAAAGTTAGGTTTGAAATATAAGCAAAACCTTTCACCTATATGTACCAATTAATTTGCAACTCCTATCTACAAGTTACAGTACAACCAAATAACTTTCAACTGGCCAGTTATAGTTGTGTACTTGTATTACTTTTTGATTGTTTCACAAAGTTGGATTAAATCATGCGTTTTAAGTGGGTGTTTGGCCATGTTTCATTGTGAAATTTGAAAAAAGTAGTTTTTGTTAATGAAAAATGATATTTGAAAATTGGAGTTGTGTTTGGCCATAAATACAAATTGGAGTTGTTTTTTACTTTTGTGACTATTTGGAGTGAAAAAGTGAAGATATCGTTTAGTTGTTTTCAAATTCTTGAAAATTCTCGATTTCAACTTCAAGTAGAATTATGGCCAAACATGTTTTCCAGAGTTCAACTCCTGAAAAAAAAAATCATGGCCAAACGCATACCTAATTTTGGTGAAACCATCAGAACCATTATCCAATCAAAATTAGTTAAGATCATACGTAATATCCAATTCCTTGAGTAGGAAATCTAGTTTTTGCATTGTAGGATATAGTATTTCATTAGTTCAACGCGTTGAGGTACCGTACTATATTCTCAAAATAAGTGATCTTGCATTAGTTTAGGTTCGTTATAATTCGAGATCATTATTGACTCCTGATCATCTTGGAAGTGCCTGATTAAGATCATGATCAAGAAGCAACTGTAGATGCAAGAAATTCTGGGGAATATGTACCCAAAGTCACGAACACATGTGCATGCATATGAACAAGCAAACCGAAAAGGAAAAAGAAAGAAAAGATAAAAGCATGAAACCAAAATAACGCATATAAGCACAAGTTGAGACTACTTACAGGAACAATCAACTTTTGTCCCCCACGATGTAACTCAAACTTCCAAAAGATCCCCTGTGAGAAAAAAAAAGGATATGAGGTGTAAAAAAAACATGAAAATCATGTGCAATCTTGCAACAATGACTTCTAATGAATTGTAAAACATGTCTAAAAAAAGCATAGACGAAAGTAGGCACCACTCCTCTTTTCTTCGGGAAGGGGTGAAAGGAGTTAGCTTGCCAATATATACCTGAATTCCTACGGTATACAGCATCCGAATGGTACTGAATTCAGATATTTTTCTTCCACCTCCCAATTCAAGTTCAAGTGCCGTACTGCAATATAATATAGAACGTCCTGAGAAGAGGCTACCAATTAAACATGAAATTTTGTGCATGAAGATAAATCCAGTAACCTGGATTATGGTGTTTTTGGCTTAATTTGAAGATACGGTTCTCTGGGAACATATTAAAAAACAAGCTGAAAATCCAAGAAAATGCCATTCCTGGTTCAAACTAGAGAGCAGAAAATACAAAGAATTTCAATTGGTTTAAGACGCAATGAGTTGTTTTACAAGATACTAGGAGGTTTGCTCTTCCCAGAAGTTGGTAAAAAAGTTTTACCTAATACCAGAAGAAATGTGATGGGATGATAAAGAAAACAATCAAGAAGAAAATGAGAAATTGCTTATATAACCATCTTTTACAGAAATCTATGATGCCTTTTTTCCAAGACACTAGCAGGTTTGCTCTTCCCAGAAGTTCTTAAAAGGTTTAACTAATACCAGAACAAATTGAGGGACTTATAAAGTAAACAATCATGAAAATATTGTTAAATCGCTTATATAACCAGATTTTACAGAAATCTGATTACAAACAAGAATTTAAAACAATAGCTAATGCAAGTTATGTATTGACTTACTCAAGCTACAATCGAATACTAGGCCTAGTCATCACCATTTTTGTTTTGATAAGGTAAAAGTTAGGCCTTAGTCATCACCATTACCATGTGCACTACGCCACTACCCAAAACTAGATACACGGAGATGAACAAGGATCAGAGAGATTTGATCATTCAACAAAATAAATCTAAAAAAGAATTGCAACACATCAAGTGTACCAGGCATTCATTAGCTTATTCAGACCACAGATCGTTTAGTTTATTTAAGCAAAAAAGTACAGAATATCAAGGCTTAGAACCTTTAACTTTAACACAGTAAAAGCAATAAGTCGAATACTATTCAAAAAAAGAAATGAGGAATTATTAACATCAATGAACCTTCCGATTCTGGCTGCGATACGCCCATGTGATTTTGTGGAGAAGCGGTGGGTGTAATTAGCCGTTGCACCAAATGACCCTGTCCCTAGCTGCATTACGTGGATGCAAATTATAGGTAGATAAAAGAATACTCAAAGTCTCGCAAAATTGGCAATGTTAAGATGCTGCTTGAAGGCGGGTTATTGACTTAATGCCACTTAATATCATTTGAACCCAATGTACTTCTCATGTTGAATTTGTTTAAAGTGGGAAAAGGTCTGTTTGACAGAACATGAAGTTGCAAGTCTGTTATATTTGCATTATATACACAAATAGACTCATAGTTCTAAAATATGTTTGGAGTGGCCCAACATATATATCATTCTATTTTCTTCTCACGCGGAAGTAAGGGAAATTAGAGGGTGGAACATGAACAGGTCACGTTATTACAGAACCTAATACAATACTATCATTGCTAACTTCTCCATGTTCCTGCTAGTACGCTAGTCAGAACTTTGTGGAACATCTACAGCTCTAAAATAACCTAAAGCAAGTGGGAGCAAGAGCAGAAGAAATCATAATCTTATTTTTTAAGAACAAATCAAGCAAAGGTCTTGAATAGAACTCGACCAGCTTGTCCAGTTTGAGTTCCTTTCATTCTTTTTTATTAGGGAGCATTCCACTGTTAGGGCACATTTCAAGGGGCACCAATCTACACAAGTTCATTTCCCAGATTTTGGCAGTAGAATATTCGAGAACTGCTAAAACTGAAAGTGCATTTTCTTCCTTTTTCTTAATTTTAAATACAAATTGTTACTTATGTCACTTCATTTTTTTAATCAGGAAGCTTCTCACTACCGTACAGATTTTTTTTTCTCAAAATGATACTAAACCAAACAATTGATACTAAAGTAACATAGCAACCTAAATAACCATTTAAATTTAATTCAACAGCTTGGTAAGGTTTTTTGGACACAAGTCATGACCAAGTAATAAAAAGGCCTACTCAGATGTAGGGAGATTATGCTGTGTAGTCTACTAGAAAGCTGGATTTGCATTTAATAGTTGGTGTGTGTCCTACTTGCCCAGAAAAAAGTAAGTTGTAGGCCACAAAGTAAACAATAAATTAACCATTAAGGGATCCTAATTCCATATCAACAGGTAGATGAGAGAAATTCATCTGTTTTTAACAAAACCAATGAAAATATCTAGAGCATTAATGTTCGTGTGGACTTCAAACCGTAAGTACAGAATCCCTCATAACCAGATCAAAGAAAGTGTCAGCCGGTAATTACTCAATTCAAGAATAAACAAAGATGATATGGTCAAGTCTTAAATAGGAAACAAGAATTCTTAAATTAGCTTTTATAAGAGAATGTAATCAAAAGATAAATGTCATTAGAGCTAGAGCAGAAAAGTGGAACCTTGATTTCTCCAGAAGCAGACCTTTTCTGCTCTTTCCTCTGCCATCCAACAGCTATAGATGACTCTGGACCTAATGAAAGATGTATCTGCACAAAAAAGTGAAAGGGGAAACGGAAAAATATAAGATTTTCTTGATAAGTTAAAAAGAATGAGTGAATATCAGTAACGTGAGATGCACAGAGATTTCATGCCTCAGCCCCTAAACGAGTATGTTCCAGAATGCTATGGTCCAAGAGATCATCAATCTTCTGACTTAAGTTGCAGGCACGAAGCATAAAGAATAGTAGCAAGTAGCAAGTAGCAACTATGAAAAATTATTTTTAAGCTTCTAGATATGTATCAACTCAAAAATAGCTTACATTTCCATGAGCGGTATCAGATAGCTGGCGAGTCCAAGTGTTGGAGAGATTAACAGAACCATCTCTTAAAGACATAGCAAGACCCATTGTTGCCGTAGAGTGAACAGATATATGACTGATAAGACAAAGAACAGGTCAATATTTGGCTAAAATTTTTGAGATCTGCAACACATAGCAAAATGGATCATCCTACCGAGTTGTCTGTACTCCTAGTAATGCTCTCAAACCCATAGACCCCATAAACTCTATTGACGAAACTGATGACATTTGATGCCTAAAAACAATAGATGCAGCACCACCGCCGGCATTCCCATTAACCGCCAGATTTCCACCAATGGCAACAGCATTGTTTTTGGAAATCTGAGACTGGACTTCACTAGCCATAGCCATCCTGGCAATCAAGCCCCAAAACATGTAAGGTAAGATGAGGTAATATCAAGAGGCATTGCTGAATAATCATATAGAAGACAAACTTGGACTTGCTGAATGATCAACATGTTGAAGGAACAAACAAACAAAAAATTCAACTAGAAACATATTGCTAACTATGCCTAAACAAGCTTAAGCATTAGTGTTGCAATATCGTACAATAAAGTAAAATTTGGTGCTTCTGAACAAAAATGACAGTAGTGCTAGCAACACAATGCATATTCCGCTAGAGCCACTCAATTCTGCAGTTTCTAAGCCTACAGGCTGCTCAGGTCATTACTTCTGTAGACACGGTGTAATGTATTAAGTAACTGAAGTGCAAATATAATGGAATCATGACAACTGAAATCTCTTGAGGAGATAGCCAAAAGACGTCAAGGAAGATAATTAGGATCAAACTTTTACAAAAGAATGCAGAGCGACTCTTGAATATGTTTAATGGTCTTTAACTTACTTGAAATTTAAAAAATTCTTAGATAGCTTATTAGGGACTCACAACAAGGATTCCTCAAGATCCCTGTTTCTAATATTTTGCTTCACTTCTATGTCATAGAAGCACACACTGAAGCTAAAAGAATTTAAAGCATAAGCTCGTTAGCTCCAAATCCACCAGCATTCTTGTGGGCAGCTTAGAACAATTCTTTTGCAGGTTGTCCCACAAAAATGATAACTCGCATACTTAAAAGAAATTTACTTCTCAGCAAGTTACTTAAAGGAACATGGCTTTGCATATTCTTCTAGGATTAAGGACAAAGGAATTTTAACATGTACAATGTGATAGATGGAATAGTTGGCTTCTGCCATGCTATTGGATTATCAATTACCTAGTCACACATATCTACAAAAGCAATTAAGACATAGAAATACAAAAGAAGTACATATGCTTACCCTTTCATAATGCCATCACCCTCTAAAAACTGTGGCAATGACAGATTTGCCATAATTGACCCAGAAGGTCGGAGATGCGCTGCAACCTTTTGAAGTTCTTTCTGACGACGTAGTCTTTCAAGTTCTTCCTTGATCTCTTCAGCTTTGTTCAGCTTAGTACCAAGTTCCAGACCAGAATTAATCCCTTCCATACCATATATGTCATATATTTGTCTTTTCGTCTCATCCGATAAAATTTCATAAGCTTCACATATTCGTTGGAAATTCTCTGTTGCAATTTCCTTCATCTGAAACAGGAAAAATATGCCACTAAATACTCGCAACTTGACCTTCAGAATCAGAAAAATAAGAAAGCCAGAGAAGTTACTTCCAACAGTTGGCAATTATCTAATATCTTGTAATAATGTTGCTAAGATTTTAAAAATATTGATTTTCTTGACCTCACTGCAAGATCCCCAACCCCCTGAACTAAGAGGATAAAACAAGTTCAATATCATGAAATACTGAGTTTCTACCATATTCTTCCCCATTGTGAGACAGTTTTCTCTTGTAACCTTATTAGTTATTCCTTCATGAGAAAAGGTTTCTAGAAGAAATTAGCAAAATGTAGTAATCTCAAGAAACCACCTATATAACGTCTCACAACCTAATAGCCCAAACACTGCAATAAGAAAGATCTACGTCCTAGTTTTCAGATAGATAAGGCCCTGAACCATAATAATGGCTGTTTGCCAAATAACAAAAATGTAATACAGTACTTACGAAGCCTCCCCTACCAAACCCATAAGACAGAACATGCGATATATGACATTAACTTGACCATCATAAGCAGGAAAACAAGGAATCTAGACACGTACAATTTTTTTCCGCCAATTGGCACTGTTGCATAAATCTTTGATATAGATTCTGTTGAACTCAATATTACGTTTTGCCGATCCCCCACCCAGGAGACTACAAAGAGCAAAAATTTGAAGAGCTGGCAACTATTGAGTTTTCTACCACGTTCTTCCCCATTGGAAAGACACTTCCTCTCTTCTACCCTCTTTTTTTAGGCTAAAGAACAGAGTTTTAGAAGAGACTCGAGCAGTTATTACACAAGGATCAATATGTAGAATCTCAGCAGGAATCACTTGTATTATGACTCTGAACCTGAAAGCACCAGCAATTGATACTTATGATCTTGGTCCTACTTTTTCAAGAAGATCCTGAATATAGTACCAGCTAACAAGCTATTAGTCCCATTGCACAAAACATGTACCAAGGACAAAACAATGTTATACCCATCTTCAAAAATTCAGTCAATATTGAATCTCCCTCCACTAAACAAGTACATGAATGAGCCAATGGGAAGTGAGTTTCTTTTTGTCTTTTATGATGGTAAATCGAATACTAAGCACCAAAATTCCAAATTGGATACAAAGTAAAACATTCACAACTGTCTAATCACATGGAAAAAGGTTGAATTTATATCTAATCAATATGCCAATCGCAATGCAAAAACAAAAGCATGGAGAAAAGAATAAATATGCCAATTGCAATGCAAAATACCTGGAAGAAAATTGAGCAAAAGCAAGTACAGCGACTTTCCACCAATATCAAAGGCAAAAACAAGAATAGTTGTAGTTCATACATATCAATCAAACAACTGCTACTTTATGGCAAACTAGTTGAAGTTGACTAGATGAAGGCTATATGTATACATTCCATCTAATCAAGACCCATTTCAACACTACATAATTTATCCCTAAAGGAAAAATAGGCAAACTAGTGTTTTCGAAAAACTAGTTCTCTATTCAGGCCCATTTCATTCCCACACTAAACAATTCACCATTAAAGAAAATAGGCAAACCAGGGTTTTCTAAAACTAAAACAGTTTAAAAACATATCAAAATGTTAAACTCAGCCCCAACCACAAGCTAGTTGGAGTTGAGCTATACAAATCGTCGGTATCCATTCCATCCTATACAAACCCATTTAATTCCAATAACACAAAATTTATCCTTTAACAGGTAGCAGGCAGAAGGTGATCTCAAGCTTATCTGAATACAAACGTGAATTACCCTTTTTAACTCCAAATACACAAATTAAGGGTTCTCAAAACTAGTTGGAACCCTTTGGGGTGGCCCAGTGGTTTGGGCTTGGGACTTCCATGTTGGAGGTCTCAAGTTCGAAACCCCTTACCAGCGAAAGCAAGGGGTTTGCCTTCTGGGTTGAGCTCGTCGCACCGGGCTTGCCTAGTGCGGGTTACCTCTCCTATGTGGTTTGCGAGCTATTGCATAGGAGCAGGGGTTTTACCCTGTGCGCACCCAAAGGGTAGTAGCTGCGGGTTTCCCTTGTCATCAAAAAAAAAAAACTAGTTGGAGATCAGCTATATGAATCCTTTATGTTCTATACAGTCCCAATTTAATTCCAATAACACAAAATTTATCCTTTAATGCATGTAGCATGTGGAAGGTGAGCTCAAGCTGACCCAAACACAAGCGTGAATTATCCTTTTAACTCCAAATACACAAATTAAGGGTTCTCAAAACTAGTAAGAGATCAACTATGTGACTCCTCCTATGTATCCCTTCCGCTCTATTCAGGCCCAATAAATTCCAATAACATAATTTATCCTTTAAATCAGGTAGCAGTCCGAAGGTGAGCTCAAGCTGACCCGGATACAACCATGAATTACCCTTTAACATCAAATACACAAATTAAGGATTCTCAAAACTAGTTGGAGCCTTGGAGGTCAGCTATATGAATCCTATATATCCATTCTGTTCTATAACGGCCTAATTCAATTCCAATAACACATAATTTATACTTTGGTTCAGGTAACATGTTGAAGGTGAGCTCAAGCTCACCCGGACACAACCGTGAAATACCCTTTAACTTCAAATACACAATTTAAGGGTTCACAAAACTAGTTGGAATCAGCTATATGAATCCTATGTATCCATTCTGTTCTATACAGACCCAATTTAACCAATAACGCATAATTCATCCTTTAATTCAGGTTGCTGCCGGAAGGTGAGCTCAAGCTGATCCGACACAACCGTGAATTACCCTTTTTAACTCCAAATACGCAAATTAAGCATTCCCAAACCAAAAACAAGCATAGTACAAAAAATACATCGAAAATCAAAAAAACAAAAAATTAAGCATTCCCAAACCAAAAACAAGCATAGTACAAAGAGTGGACTGTGAGTACCTCAAGAGCTTGATATTTATCAGGGTGATAGATTTGAGCCCATTGACGATAAGCTTTTCGAATTTCTTCATCAGAAGCTTCTGGAGATATATGAAGCAATGCATATAACTCTCTATTTTGCGGCCCACTTTCTTCTTCTTTCATATTAAACTCTAGGGTTTATAACAGAATCTGAATAAATAAATAAAAGGTACTAACAGAGAAACTCCCAAAGAAGATTTTGAAGATTGAGGTAAGAAGAAAAAAACCCTTGAATGAGTTTCGTGAGGTTGAGGTTACAGAGTCGCCATTTCTGAAATTGCTTGCTTGCTGTTCAAGAACAATTACGACTTACCAGTGACTTCCTTTAGATGCCAATACCACCCTCTCTGTTTTTTTGTTTTTTTTTTTTAAATAATTTTCCAGCAATAATTTTATTTTTTTAAAATAAAATGTTTTAAGACAAAAAATGAATTTTCTTTTTATAAAAAATAGCAAATGTTTTAAGTGGAGTTTATATTTTCAAGGGAAAATTACGCGAAAAGCAAACATATATTAGTTAATTAGCTGATATAGCTATAGTTTGAATTAATTACGGCTCGCAGATTAATTTTAGCTTTAATTATGTCACTTGTCCTCTTTTATACATTTACAAATATAAATTATAAACATATATATATATATATATATATACACAATTATATGACATATATACAATTACAATACAATTAGCTTCTCTCCACTCTATGACCTTTCTCGCTCACCTCTCTCCTCTCTCTCTCAATCTCGCTTGCCTCTCTCCTCCCTTTCCCAGTCTCTCTCTACAAATATACAAATACATATGTGTATCGGTTATATATATACAATTATCTGACTGATATACATATATTGTTCCACTCTCTGCCCTCTCTCGCTCGCCTCTCTCCTCCCTCTCCCAATCTCGCTCGTCACTCTCATCCCTATAACATGTAGCTATAAATCGTAATTAGCATAGTATAGTTATGGAGCGTAATTAAGCTATTTTAAAATGGTTATATGCGAAAGTTCCCCTTTTTCAACTAGACACAGGTGTCGTGCTAGCACGGCCCCAATACTATTATTTTTTAATTTTCATTTATGTGATATAAATAGAATTTAGAAAGTTGATTAAATTTTAATATGATTTTTAGATATTTTAAGTTGTTAATTTGCGCAAATTTATTGTGAAGAGGTCCATTAAGATGTCCATACATAAAGTATTTTTCATCATTGATCGTTGATTTTTTACTCAAAGTAGTTACAAGATATAAACAAATATTACCGACATTCAAAATAATAAAGTTATAACAAAAGAATATGAACTTAAAACTAAAAAGTCATAGCTAAAACGGATCCTATAATTTCAAAAATATTATATACTAATTAAATTAAATTAGAACAAAAGAAATAATTCTTTTTAATTTTTTTCGAAGACGTGTCTGCTTTAGTGTGAAATATCTCTCTTATATAATAAGAGAATTTTAGCATAAATTGCGTTTAGATTTTATTTTTAGAAAAGTGTCGAAGACACTCCTAAACTTGGCGAGAATTTAGAGGTGTATTTCACTCATGTTGCTAGAACAAAGGTGTATTCAAATTCAATCTGTTTTTAAGGCTGTCAGTAATTGGAGAATGAAAATAATAATTCGCACCAAATTTAGAAGTATCTTCAACATTTCTCTCTTTAATTATTTAAAAAATTTAAACAAGATATTCTTAGTCATCGTTAAATATTTAAGAATTGTAGTTATTATATTTAATTAAGAACTCTAAAAAGATGTAGGAAAAAACATATTTTGTGGTTTCTACTCTTTTTTTCCCTGTGCATGATGTAGTTTTTTGAGGTGAGGTGTGACGTATTTTACTATATATTAGAAGAGTCTAGGATTTACTACCATTGTTCCAATTAAATCATTACAAATGTCCAATACTTACTATATAAAATATATAAGTGGGCCCCACCTACTTCCACTTAAATAATATTTTTCAACCTTATCATGGTAAAAGTTGAATTTATTATCCTTTTCATTTAATTTTATATGATATTATTTTTTTTCTATAAAATCATTATATATGTTTTAATAATTTAAATTTCAAAAACATTATAATTTAACTTTAAAGATTTTATTTTATCAAAATCTTATACATTGAAATATATAGTTATGAATTTAAAATATTTTTAAAATCATATAAAAAATTTAATAACTTCTCAAATTCCATAATATAACACTTAAATACTACATATTATATATTAATTACTATACTATAAATGACTTAAATACTCCATATTATCTATTACAATAATTAACAATTATTTGACACTTTAAATTCTATCAATGCCATATAAATTAGGATAAAAAGCCTAACATATAATATTTAAATATATTTAAAAATAATATAAGTAATACTATACATTACAATAATTAACAGCTTAATTATTTAAAACTTATATAAAAAATTTAATTGAGTCTCTAAATTCTATTGGTACCACATAAAATAGATTATATAATAAACATATATTGTTTGAAATTGACGAAAAAGAAACAATAAATTACAATAATTAATAAAAAAAATAGTCGACGAAATTGACGAAAAACAAATTATAAATTACAATAATTAACAAAATAAATCTCTCGACTCCAACAAATCTATCAATTAATGCCACATAAATTGGGACATGGCAAATAACATATATTATTAAAAAATTAGGTTCAAAATGTACTATAAAATACAATAATAAACAACTTAATATATTAAAGAGACATATAAAAAAGGGTTAATATTTGAAATTCTGCATCTACCACATAAATTAGAACAAATAGATTAATAAATATTATTTTCAAAATTATGTTAAAAAAAGTACTACAAATCACAATAGCTAACAATTTAAAATATTTTTAAAATCATATAAAAATTTCAATAACTTCTCAAATTCCATAATATGACATAAATTTTTAAAAAAGGTGTTATAAATCATAATAAATTGTACAATATTTTAACTACTTTAAAAGTATTATAAATTGTAATAGATAATACAACAATTTAAATTACTTATTACTTAAAATTTAACGACTTAAAAATATGTTTTTAAATGTATTAAAATTTTGGTTAATTGTCAAAACTTTACATGTGCCACATAAATTAGGACATGGAGAGTCACACATATTTTTTTTTAAAAATTACATTAAAAGCATTCTATCAATTAACAACATATATTGTTTGAAATTGACGGAAAAAAAAACTATAAATTACAATAATTAACAAAATAAATCTCTTGACTCCAACAAATCTATCAATTAACGTCACATAAATTGGGACATGGCAAATAACATATATTATTAAAAAATTAGGTTCAAAATGTACAATAAAATACAATAATTAACAACTAAATATATTAAAGAGACATATAAAAAATGCTTAATATTTAAAATTCTGCGTGTGCCACATAAATTAGAACAAACAGAGTAATAAATATTTTTTTCAAAATTATGTTAAAAAAAAGTACTACAAATCACAATAGCTAAAAATTTAAAATATTTTTAAAATCATATAAAAATTTCAATAACTTCTCAAATTCCATAATATGACATAAATTAAAAATAAATAAATATATATATATTGGGCCCCGTGCTGGCACGGGTCCTATATCTAGTATATTTTAGAAAATCGAGGATAAGGGAAGAGGAAATGGGGATGGAAATCGATCATTATCAACAAATGAAAAGTTTATGTAACCAATTAACTAAATTACTATGATTTTTAGGCGTGACAAATAATAAATTTGTATAATTGTTTGAGTAGTAAAATCTAGGAAATTGTATTCCTCATGGACCTTCGCATTACTTATTTGTTAGTTTTATCATCTTATTATTTAGTCAATTATTTTCATCTCAAATACCATACGCAACGAAATGGATGATAATAATGAGATGTGGTTGATTAATTATTGAGGTACGATAATAAAAATCACGCAGGATGAAAGGGGATGAAGTATATAAATAGACACTTTAAAGATCACTATTTAAAATATAGTCATCATTCCCAAAATACTCAAATTTAGCTATTTCAAAATCAAAATTCACACCGAAAAATTGAGATTTTAAGATTTTTAAGGACTTGAGATCTGAAGTTTGAACTGCGATACATTTCTGATACGAATACGAACGATAATAATGGATGGACTAATGTGATCCTCATAAAATCTGGGCCTTTTAACAATTAATCCCTAGGCCCATAATAAAATGTACAAGGCCCATCAGCCTAAAGATCCAAAAAGGGAAAGCCGGCGGATTGTCGGCCCTACATCAGCAAGCCTGCTATTTATAATTGAAATGACAAATGATCTGAATAATGAAAAAGATAAAAGAAAGAAAAAACAAATTTTATATGTGAAAAAAACATTAATGTAAAGAAGACTTCAAAATTTGAGTTAAACCCAATATACAAGTTCTTGCGGATCTTGACCGAAAACGAATAATAATACCTTAACAGTTGGACCATGACCTTTATTTATGGTATCTGAGCAGGACTATATCTTAGGGCCCGTTTGGCCATGCGATATGGTATCATGAGATGAAATTAAAGGTTTGTTTGGACATGCGATATGGAATTTTTGTGTTGTATATTTTCTCATAAACATAAAAATCTCATAAGTTGTAAAACTATTAAAATAGCCCCAATTGTTTATTCAATCTTATCAAATAAACAAAAAATTATAAAATCGCATAATAAATAATTACAAAGTTATTTGTTCTCCACTTAAGTAATTGTTTCATCTAACTTTAATTTAATTAAAAAAAAATTGAACATAAATTGTAGTGTACTATTCTTTAATATAATCCTTCCACATAGTACGGACAATTTCATCACGTTGAACTTGCATTTCTCGATCATGTGACCGAGAAGACGAACCAACATTGTTACTTTGAGGCATTTGTTGGTCAATATCCTCCACAACTATAATTTCATGTTCATAGACCATAAATATTTCATCACTACTTTGGTATTCTCGCAAATAATTATGTAACACTGACAAGCTATGTCAATTTTCACTTGTGTATCAATATCATAATTGTTCACGCCTTGTTTCAGTATTCTAAATCTATTTTTCCAAGTTCTAAAAGTCCGTTCAATCACATTGCCCAGAGATGAATGCCTATAATTAAATAGTTCTTTGCCATTTTGAGGCTCTCTTTCACTTCCTCGGTAATCTTGCAAATGATAGCGTAGTCCTTTGTATGGAGCTAAAAATCCTTTTGTGTTTCGGAAACTAGCATCAACAACATAATATTTATCTACCAAAAAATATTTTATAAAGAATTACTAAAAGCATATGTGAC